CAAGCACAAGAGAGAAACAACTTGAGAAGAGGACCCACCTGCACGGCCCATAGATGACTAGGCGGTATTGCTGTGTCATTTGGATTTCTGTGTACTCGAGCAACCGGCCACGAAACGACCGGGACGCGTGCCCGTCGCGGCTGGCACAGGCCGCTGCCCCCTTCCTTCTTTCCTCTCCTCACTCCTTTCCGTGGACGTTTGTCCGGGAATCATATCAGAAAGCAAAGCAGCACGCGTATATGGGGATCACCCTGTGTATACGTAGAGCGCGAGCCTGAATCAGCGAATCATTAAAGAAGGGGTTGGTGTCGTATCGAGTCCCATAATTAATTTGAATGAATACAGAGCTCGCGAATTAAAATTGTTTCCCAAAATTTTGGCAAATTTTGCTGTCAGGGGTGCGTCACTACAGAGTGCACGCGCGCCGCACTGGCACTCGCGCTAAAGTATCCAAATGGTCACCACACAAATTGCGCCGTTTTACTGACACCGCGTAGCGCCTCCTCGCCTGGGGGACACCCCAACCGGCTCGTATAGCTATAGTTATAACATTTGTTTAGCAGGAAAAAAAATGCAGTATATTCCGTTTCATAAAACAGAAATCCGAAACAGTAAACAGTACCACCATATTTGCTCAGCCATTAGTGTGCTGATCGCCATCGAACTGGGTGCGTGGCATCCTACTTTATTATTTCGGAAATAACTATAGGCGAGCTGCATGTGAGTGGCGGGTACACAAAAGGGGAGAGAGAAAGAACATGGCAGCATTTCAGCAGCGCTGCTGGCCGATAACGCGAGCATATGAGTCAGTTCGCACTAAGCAGCTGATCCTCAGAGCCGCCCCCCCCCCTCTCTCTCTCCAATTCCAGGTTTACGCCGAATTTATTTGGAAAAATTCTGATTGTTGTGAATCACTCGTTGGTCAGCATGTGCATGGTTGCTGCTATGGCAACAGCCCTTGACCTGACGTGAACCTTAAGCAAGCCTTTATGCATATGACCAAATATGGTATTCAGTTGTCTACATTTAGATACATTTACGAACACTCATCTTCCGCTCCCACAATCATAACACCAATCCCACATTCTGCCTATTCCTGAGCAGAGCCAGTCGTGATATGACCCAATTTAGCAGTCGGCCACCAAGGCCTCCTGCCTGCCTCACGGCCATCTGAGCGCCGAGACGGAACGACAGACCGACGGACATCTAGACAGACAGCCATGTGAGTTTGTTTGTAGTTTGTTTTCGCCTCAGTCTTGTTAGTTTTGTTTGCAGACTACAACAATATTTTGTTTTCGTTTCTTTAAGCAGAAGAAGTATGCGATAAATCCAGACGAATCCGTTCTCCTATTCACACAGCCCCCCCCCCCCAATCCTTTCTTTTCAAACAGCCGAACACCTCAGAAAAATAAGTCCAGGTAAGGTTGTTGGCGTCTAATAAGTCGTTACTCTTGTAAAGTTATGTAAGCTGCCTCTTTAATTAAGTCCTCGCAATCTTGGCGCGCCGCGACTGCGATAACAGAGACAGAGACAATTTCGCAAAGATGCAAGAATTTCTTTCTCAATTAGCCTCGGAAATTACATGTGATCCGTGAACTCAAGACGCGGCCGCGGCGTATCAGCATGAGACGCTTTGACCGTTCCGCCAATATATATAATAAATATATCCGGATGTCCTATAAGCTACAAACAAAGAACGTGGCAAGAAGATAGTTCACGCTTATTTAACACCCCCCCCCCCTCCCCCAACACACACACAATCTAGCATATGCCGAATCAAGTGGAGTGAAAACATAAGGCACCGACTGCTCGGCACAGGCGGTATCTGCCGCGCTTCCGCTCCGCGTCCACCTGTGTGAGCTGAGCGCAAGCTAAGCGCTTGAGGCGACGCACTTTATCACCTTTATCGAAGCGGGCAGCGCGCTGCAGGTGTGTCCGATGCAACTCGCATTTCTCATATCCATCAGCGGCCACCACTGATGAACAGTTTCGTCACCATGAGAAATTTTCTGACTACGCTGCGAGTAACGCGCCATACATCCAATCTAAATGTCAACCCGAACAGTCAGCCTCCTACATCACCCCCTGCTTGCATTTGTATTTTGTACCGAGATTGACACGAAGAATCAAACACCAAGAAAGCATCGTTCCCATGACACGAACAAAGGGCCCGTACTTTGCGTGCAAAAGCGACACAAAGGAGCAGAGTGACAGACACCCTCTGAAAGTTCGGTCGTAGGGGACGACAACCATAATAACAAACGTTAACATCCTAAAGCAAAATTATATCGACTTGTACATAACGTTTGCTCATCCAGCTGCGTGCCATTTGACTCGTTAGGTTCACGATCGCTGTGATTCACTGGCAGTGTCACGCTGGACGCTATGGCGCATGCCGGCAGACAGCTCATATGCGATAGGACTGCAGTGCATCGGTGGGCATTCGCTACGACAAACACAGACAGAGCTCTGCTTCTCTCGTGCCCACTCACAACAGACATGCGCACAGGCACACAGTGACGGTATCCCACACACCTGCAACACAGTAGCTGCACGTATGTGAGCTGCCCTCGATTGATCGTTTCGATTGATCGATACGATTGATCGATACGATCGATCGTTATTGGATTGATCCGCTCAGTCCGAAAGCATAGCGCCGCCCGCCTAATGCGAACAGAAACACGCGGAAAAGCGACAGCGCTGGCAGAATGTTACGTCGTTCGGCGGCAGGAGCCAGTTGGCTTTGCGACACGAGGCTCGACGTGCGGCGGAAGTCGGCTGGGTAAATATTTCGCGACATATATAAGTTAGGGCTTAACCTCCCCATAACGAGCGTCGCTCGCTTACTTAACTGGAGAAAGGCAGTAAAGGGGGAGGGAAAGGGGTCATCCGCCCTCTAAACCTTCATGAATGGAAAAAAACTTCTCGTTGGTGGGGATCAACATTAGAACGCATTCCATTAAGAAAAAAGATCCTCATCAAATAGGGGACGCGCCTATCTCCTTACGCTTCGAACCGGCCCTATCTCACACCACCCGCATGGAAAAAGACGTGTAGGACTCTTATCAGTCATAGATAAAAAATGAAAAAAAATAGTTTCCAGGATCTTCATGGATGTTTTTCAGAGGCGAGAACACGAGAAAGGGCTATATAGATAAATTAACTGTAAATACTTATGGAAGTCTTACAACATTAATTGATCGTCAGAACCAAAATAAACCTGATGGGTGTTTTTGACGGTCTTATGCCTGATTAGCCGTGTTTACTTGGTACGCCTTATTCAGGCTCAGGCCAGTCGCTGACCATCCTGAGGGAGGGAGAGAGGGAGGGAGAGAGGGAGGGAGAGAGCGAATTTATTTGGAAAAATTCTGATTGTTGTGAATCACTTGTTGGTCTGGTCAGCATGTGCATGGTTGCTGCTATGGCAACAGCCCTTGACCTGACGTGAACCTTAAGCAAGCCTTTATGCATATGACCAAATATGGTATTC